CAGTTCTCACTACTTTGTATGAGAGCTTTGTATATGCAAGTTAATTCTGATTTATGTCCCTGGGGGCACCTCATACAGCACTGTGGTTAGACTATAAAGTAAAACAGCATCTGTAAGGAACAATATCCAAAAATGTTTGTCTGTTTAAGCTAAAGGTTCAATTAGGCTGAAGGTCCTCTCCAGTTCATTACTAGCTTCATGCGTGGAGTGGGAAATATTGTCCAACAATTAATATATTGGCTTAATTAAAGAATTAGAAATTACTAACAATGTAGAGCAATTTGTTTTTTTTTATGAGCTCAGCATAAACTATATATCAAAAACGTAGCAGTCTGCACATACAGTATTACTGGGCTGCGAATCTTAATAAAACGTTTCATTCCAAGGTTATTGTTGATAAATGAAAAAGAGCCACTAAAAAAATGAGAAGCACTAAAAAATGAGACCACTTTGGATCAAATCGGAGCTTGATGGGGGGATGGTGATGTCATCAGCCAAAAATTAAAATGATTATATCTTAAAAACTAAAATAGCACAAATGACCGTTTTAACTGCACAAATCAGAACAAACGAAACACTAAAAAAGGAGACCACTTTGGTTCAAATTGGAGTTTAATGGGGGGATGGTGACCTCTGGATGACCTAAAAAAATGATCTTTAATATCTCTTAAACAAAAGTAGCACAAACGATATTTTTTTCTGCACAATTCTGCACTAATGTGGCACTAACCATTCAGTCTATTTGCAGAGTTTTTTTTGACGTGGGTGGGGTGTCAGCTTCACGCAGCTATTACTACATGCTTCCACATGTGTGCTGAGGTACCAGTGTGAATTTCATGTGTGTGGGACAATTCTTAGGTTAAAAACAAGGAGGATGCATTTTGTGACAGGTCCTTGCCAAAGTACAAGGATCAGCAAATGCAAATTCTACCCTGTAAAACAATGACAGTGCAATTGTCGCTTCATATGATCTGAAGCCCCATTTGGAGCTTTTAAACAGGATTTTGAAAATCTTTGATAAATTGCTGCTGTAATATTATAGATTTTTTAGAATAAAAAGCTAGCAATGTGCATAAACAAACAAACAAAAAAATACAATACAGTTCAGTAAAATACAGTTCTGTTTTATGCCTCATTCTTGTAAGTTTAAAATGTTCCAATGCTCCTGAATGCATCATAGCTTTCTGACGCGCAGCGAACGCATCTTGGTGTAGATGCGCGTTTGATTTTCCACTTAAGAGAAAGCTTTGCAAACTCAAAACTCACGTCGGCTATCACGGTTTAGTGTTGTGTGTAAATAACAAGAGACCACAACAAATAAATCAGCCGTACCATGGTCAAAATCTTTGGATTTAATGTTGTTCAAAAAATCCGTACTTTTGTAAATCAATCTGCCAAATAACCACAATGCACTTTTGGACATAACACCGGTGTCCTGCCGCGCTCAGGTCGCTGCTCATTAGCGCCCCCTGTCTGCGGGATGACCGATCAATTATCCGGCTTTACATCATTACCAACTGGAGCTCCACTCCTAAACTACAGTGTACTCGTCAAAAAAGGTAAATAAATGAATAATTAATAATAAAATGGGAAATTAAATAATAATAAAAAAAAAAAACCCACCAACAGACTTGACATTATGTTTTTTAATGGTCAAGGCTTGTAATGTGATTAACACACATAAATAAATAAATAAATAAATAAATAAATAAATAAATAAATAAATAAATAATAAAATAAAATCAAATAAAATCAAATAAAATAAAATGAAATGAAATGAAATGAAATGAAATGAAATAAATAAATAAATAAATGAATAGATAAAAGCAGTAGAATTTAAATAAAAAAATAGCGGCATTGTTTTGCTTCAGGAATCAAACTGATAGAAAACCTATGCTCCAAGAAGTAAGAAATTGAGAAGTGGGCTTAGGTTCCTTGCATAGGAATAGTGTCATCATGAAGCCAGAATTGAGAGCCGAACAAAAAAAAAACATGCTTACTTTTTCACCTCTAATGGGGGGTTATTCATTGGCAGACAAACACAATGAATAGGACAGAAAAAAAGGTGAAATCAGGAAGCTTGCATTTAAACTGGCTCATTTCTAACTAGGGATATTTTTTACAGCTATCATAATTCTGAACATTTTTGCAGTCATCTCTCGGTGATCTGCCAACTCTTTGTATTTGGACCTTGGGCAAAATGCAGATAAATTAATTCAACAGATGACAGTGGCAGCCTAGTGGTTAGGGCATAGAGCTTGGATCCTGAGGTTCTGGGTTCGAGCTCCACTCCCACAGACTGCCACTCTGGCTCCCTAAGCAAGACCCTCAACCCCACATTGCTCCCTGGGCGCCCCACTATGGCAGCCCACTGCTCCCTAAGGGGATGGGTTAAATGCAAAGAGTGAATTTCGTTGATCTGTACTTGTGACAGTGTAATGACAATAAATGCTTACTGCATCATCATTAGATGCAAAAAAGTAATGAAAAGATGCCATGCATGTTTAATCAGGGACTTTTCTCATTGATAACATAAAGTGGAATGACCATCACACTTATTATTAAATACAGTGTGCAACAATAACCTTAAGCCTTGAAAAAGAAAACACCACCCACAGGATTGAAAGTTCAAATCTTAATTTATTAAAGTCAAATTATTTGTGTCTGTGTAGAACAAGGAAGCAAACCGGAATCCTCGCTGGGATACATTGTTAGAAGAAGCAGCTTTAATCCTACAGCATATACCTGCAAACTGGCCTTTTGGAATATGAAGCACACATTTCCAAAAGTAAAGAGCTGAAGAATATGATTCATTGAGAACATCAAACTGTTTAAATAAAGTGCAGTACTGGCATCTAGTGGACAGATTGCAGAATTGCAGAGATGACTCTTCTAAAAGAGAAGTTGAGATCCTGGTGAAAAGTCCAGAACATTTACAAAAAAAATATTTTTAATCAGAAAGAAAAAAAACAAAACGTTACTGATTATGGAAAATGCAATCTAAGATAAACTCTCCAACCTTCAGCCTTTTGTAAAATCACAAAGGAATTTAATAAGACACCTGCTGATGTTTATCTATTTATAGAAATAAACAAAAAACACAGTCACATGGTGTTTGATCCACATGCCTTTCAAATGGGGCTTTAACATTTCTAAAACATGTTTCAAAAATAATTTTTTTCACAAGTACTTTTTGTTTTATAGCTCTGTAAACAAATAAAATTAGATTTTGAATTCCACCTGACATGTGTGACTGTGGGAGTAATGCAACAGCAGGTATTACTTTTCAGCCACACCTAATAATGACAGGCATCATTGGAAACTAGAGGCTCAGACCTTTCCAAGGAGGGGTCAGAGGTAATATTGCGACCATTTCAGGTGATGTAACCGGTGTGCGTTACATAAGCTTGCTCTGTTATTCTTATTTTCTATTCAGTTTGATGATATTAATGGTAAATTTCAATGAAACAACAGCTAAATCTTAGGTGCAAAGGCTTTGTATTATGCAGAAGGTCTCCAATTATGTAAATCAGCATATTTGTCTTAACAGATTCCCCTTATACTGCCCACTGAAACCTCTGTTATTTAGTCCAAATTTGCTTGAGTTATAGTCAAGATGTGGATCTATAAAGTCTGAGGGTTCATCCAGAGTTTCAAATGGTTTCATGGTGTTTTGCTGTGTTTATTTTGAAAAAAAAAAAAAAATAAAATAAAATTAGCAAGGCTAAATACTTTTTGTTTAATCACCTATAAATCAGACATGGTGACATTTAAAATAGTGTTTCAATTTGAGAAATATTCCTTAATGCCTTTCTGTCATACAACCACAATCAATTTGATTTCCAATTTGTCCATAATGTCCAGCAGTTTGTTAAGTGTCATTGTCTCTACCACCGTCCCCAGAGGGTCCAGCCTCTTGCCAAGCACAAAAGCTGGCTCGCCTCACCGGTCTGGAGGTGTCCTTCTTGGATGTGCTGCTGCCCCACCTCATCATGGTGTAGAAGAAGACACTGGCAACCACAGACTGGTAGAACATCTCCAACAGCTTATTGCAGATGTTGAACCACCTCAGTCTCCTCAGGAAGTACATCCTGCTCTGCACTGCAGAAACGATCTAGAAATAAGTGAAAATGTCTTAAATTAAGTGAATTTACTCTTAATTTGGGAAGATCGTTTGCCAATGGAATGAGTATTTTTACTCTTAGAATAAGATAATTAGATAATATGCACTTGTAATAAGACAATTGATTTTCCTTATTTTAAATGTAAATCATCACGTTTCATTGGCAAAGTGCAACTTACCTCATTTCAAGAAAAAATGCACTAATTTTCAGAAAAAAATTACTTATTTTGATTTATGTTTTTTGCAGTGTGTCTTCCTGTGCAGGTGGCTGCTGTGTGTGTTGACCAGTCCAGTTTATGAGAGAAGATGAAGAATTGTAAATAGCAATGAGGACATCCAAAAATCTTTCAGCAATGATCAGTTAAAAGAAAAGTTTGACTCCTGCAAGGCCAATAAAGGCTTCTAATTGGTTAAATGAGAAAAGTATAAATCAACTTCAACATGATTTCAAAATAAAAGTCAATTTTTGTTGATAATTTTTCAACCTTTTTTCTTTTGGGAGAGGCCCCTCTTTTCCACTTATTAAAACTTCTTAGTTGAATTAAACCAATTCTGACAAGAGTTGTCATTTTTATTTAACAGCAGATTCATTTTATCAACTGATTAATATATTAATTGCAGATTTAATTTCCCTTTGTGATAAACAATAAAGTGTTTTTGAATGGGTCTTATCTTATAAAATGACGTGATTAACAAAGACTACATGTTTCTTTAAAACAGGTTTATTCTGACTTGTCCGTATTTATAGCAATAATGAAACAAATCAAGAGCAACATAAGATTAGCCCCTCCCCCCCGGAGGTAAATTTCAACAGTTCCAGCCGTTAATTAAAACTGAATGGTGCAGCAGCAGCAACAACAACCAGACAGTGTAGGTCATAAATGTCCTCATCATTTGTTGGCAGTCAGGTGAGCCAGATGTTTTCCCGCTCTCTCCTCCACCGAGGGGGGTTTGTCCATGGGAGAGCAGGCTTAGAGTCCAGGGCCTCCAGCAAATATGAGCTCCAGGGCAGCCTGGATGTCCCCATCTGTGGCCTGCAGCGCCCTCAGCATCAACTCCTCATCCTGGATCCCCATGTCCCTGAGCTGCTGCAGCTGGGACTGCCAACGCCCCTAGCAACACAAAAAAACGTGTTCAGAAAGAATAACCTTTTATTCAAACACCACCTGGTTTACATTTTGTATCTCATTATCCCCTCAGATGAAATGAGCCCACTGTTGAGGCTTTAGTCGGTTAGTTCACCTGCAGAGAGGACATATTGGTGGCTTGCAGGGCTTGTTGTAGAGCCTGGCTGAAGAGATCATTACTGACTGGTGTGCCAGCTGGCATTGGGGCTCCGCCACTGGAGGGGTCCATCTTAATCAAAGAAAAAAATAAAAGAGAACCGTTATGTTTCCAGGTTCTGCAGCCAGGGGCCCTGAGCAGCATTGTTCTCTTGATAAATAGGTTATAAGAAAATCAGCTGCGTTTTTGCTGCCTTACCTGACTTGCAGTTGTTGGAGTAACAGCGCTACTGTCTGGTGTGCTGGCCAAGGCCAGAGCAGTTGCCAGCTCGCTTTGCGTTATAGGCCGAGGTCCCGTCGCTCCGCTGTGGCCCAGAGAGACGGGTCGCATTCCTGCCGGGAGCCCTCCTCGACTGGAGGGACCAGCTGGACTCCCCTGTTCACAAATATTCAGATAATTACAATCCTTTACAGATGATCTGCTTTTCTCTGATGTCTGCGGGTGAGGAAAGACTTACAGACTGGAAATCATCCTCATCATCAGACATGCCTTCAAACATGAAGCCTCCTGACACGAAACAGGATAAGACTAATCTTAGAATACTTCAAACAGATGAAAAATGTTTACTCCACACTGCTTACCTGGCATATCACTGTAAGAACTGGCGGAAACGTTACGGGAGGAGCTGGCGCTGGACTGGGCGGGCATGCTGCCTGCCACTGAGTGCAGGACTAGGATGATGGCGTTGACAAGAGCCGGATGTGAACTGATTAATCTGTTGCAAAACAAAACAACAAAACACAACAGTGAAAGTGTCACATTATTTGTCACATTGCACCTAGAAAAAAGCTAAGAGCCGTACTCACACATCCAGCATGTTGGGGTCTGTGAACTGCACAAAGAGATCTTTATCTTGAAGCACTCCTGAAGGTTTAAAAGGAGAAATGTTACAACTCAAGATAAGATGGTGTTGCTGAGGTGTTAGTAGAGTTCTGCAGGATTTTACCAAGAGCCACCGGATCCGATTTGAGCCCAGGAGTCGCTACAATAATCTGATCCAGGGATTCTTTGTTTGTCAGCATTTTATAAACCTGAAAACAGAAGGAAAGAACAGACTTTAGTTATCAGTGATGGGTTCCTTCATTATCACAAAGATGAATCTGGTAGCTTTGCAAAGAATCCAATCGCTTTGTTTGCAAGTGGTGTCAAATTATGGCTGAGCTTTGCTTTAGGAATTGTACAAGTCTAGGATCAGGAAAAGGAAAGCTAACATCTGTGCAGATATAAAGTATCCTGGAAAACATGGGCGAACGACATGCTGACGGAGCTACAAAGCTCTGCCACAACACGATGATTGTAAAAACCCTTCCCAGCAGTAGCCGGCATACAGTTATTATTTCAACCACATATCACCTATAGCACGGGAGGCCTCAACATGTCAGTCATCACGGGTGAACGATAAGAAAGAGGCAAAGCAAAAGTGGCATCAAATAAATTTCTAAGCGAGAGCGATTTGCGAGAGCAAATATTTGACTTGCATTTCCACACAAAAACATTTCCCCACTTTCCTTAATGGGCCCTTAGCTGGTCCCCTACAACTAGAGGTGGACCTGCTGGTCTGCTTTGAACCAGTAACTGTGCTGGCTTGAAAATGTTGCGGTAGAAGGCCTAGTTTAAGGTTTCATCCACTATAGAAAGTTTTCCAGGTCCTGAATCACATAGTTTGTGAACATTAGATCTAAAGAGAAGGGCAATTTTGAATGGCTGCTACTGTCTACAACATTATGTGTACTGATGAGACAACAGTTTGCTCTGTGGAAGTCATTTTAAAGCCAGCACAGCATCTCAGATAACCAACATGCCCACAGACAGGCATGTTGGTAGTTTATTGGTTGATTCAGGACCTGGACAATCTGTGCGCATTCTATATTTTTGCACAGATATCAGATATGAAAATACCGTATTTTCACGACCATAAGGCGCACCGGACTAAAAGGCGCACTCTCAGTTATGTGTCCCATTTCTG